AATCCTAAACAGGTGCGTGGTCCCAAAAATAGAGAGAGCAAATGGCTGCCGACCCTCCATTTAAATCCCAGCACCAATCTTCTCCTGCAGCTTCATTCAAGCTCCTCCCACAATTGGCCACAGCTGCCAGCATTCCGGGCGGGTGTGGCCCTGTGGTGTGGAGCCAATTATCTCCAAGGTCTTTTGGACCCCATTACAAATCCCTATTTGGGCCCCCCCTCTTGGCTGCACCCTGTTACAATGATAAATGTTCTCTACTTTGTAAAACTCATCATGTGTGATGTTGATGTATGCCTATTGTAAGGGCAGAGGTGGCCACAGGTCATCATATGATTGCAACCAATCCTCCTAGCTAAGGTGAACTGTTAAGTGCTAAAAATGAGGTCTAAACAAAGCACCTGGAGGCCCAGAAAAAAGTGATTCTGACTTGGCTCGGGGGAGGAATCAACCACAGTGCTTGTTGCCACAGTTCAGGGCTTGCAGTGTGAGGATCTTTGGCTGCTATTTTGTTTTGCTTTGATTTCTCCCCTTAGAATAGTTTTTCAGAGGTGGAACTGTTTGATCAAAGAGGAGAAACATTTTAGGATTCTTTAAACACAGTCAAATTGCTTTCCATAAAACGTAATGCATTCATAGGGTCTCTCTCCTGTATGGAGGCATTGAAGTCTCTAAAGGTCTGAAAAGGAAGCTTTTCCCAGGCCACTTAAAAGTTTCCTTTTCTGAATGAACCCTCTGGTGCTCAGTAAGTGTAACATTGAAAGGTCCTTGGAGTTTCCTCTGTTCTCTTTCTATAAAGTGGTTATGATGATCTATTAGATTTGCTAAATCTGGGAATTTCCACATTGATTTTCAAAACATTTTTAGTGTTTGCTTGTTTTGGGTAAAACAGAACCACGGAGAGTGTTGCTTCTAAAGGAACAATGAGTGGATGAAGAGTTCCCAGTTTTTTCTACTTCTATTTTATCTCCTGATCTCAAAACTTGACAGAAGAAATACAAACTGAACATGTTACCTTGTTCCAAGGAAGAAAAAAAAAAAGAGTTGTATTAAACCAGTACTGGGATGATAGAAACACCTATGTAGATTCCAAAGATTTTCCTCCAATTAAGGGTAAATTTTTGTTTTCTTTCTTTCTTCATATTCAATGGACACTCACCTATTTTGAAGTCAAATATTTGTTTCATTCGTTTGAGTCCTGCAGTCCCTTCACCCATTGTCCTATCTCTATGCTTCACAGGGAAGTCAGGCCAGGCTGTGATACTGGATATCCTGGTCATAAGAAAGACTGGAAGCATGATACTTGGGCCACCACTGGTTTTTCCTGAATTCAGGCTGATTTCTGAGGCAGACAACCTCTCTATTTCCTTCTCAGGATTATTTCACCTGGAGCCTCTGTCAGGTAATTTTTCAATATTAGAACAAAACTAAAATGAGGGGAAAGTCCCTTTTGTGCTCAATTCAAAGCTCTTGTCCTCCTATAGAAAAGGAGTAAATTAATCATGTTAAAGTAATGCAATAAATTAGTTTCACATTTTTAAATATTTTGATAAAAGAATTATCCAAGTTAGGTTATTGAGTTCCAAGAGAAGAGAGAGGTAAAAGTTGGAGTTTTGGAACTATGGCCTGGATTAATTTCAGTTAAGAGATTTTCAAAGAAAAATTGGTATCTGAACTGGGTTTGTTGGTGACCAGCAAAATCCATCTTTATGTTTTCTTTTAGCTGAAGTCTAGGAGTAGATTATCTTGAAATTAACCAAAACAACTACCTAACACTGTTTCTAAAAATCTAAAACAACTAGTAAAATTTTCTCCAGCTGAATTTCCCTCCATGTCCTACTATTCTTTCCCTCACTGAGACCAGTTATGGTTTGCACTCTTTTCTTTTTATCCTCACCGGAGGACTTTTTATTTTTCAGAGGGAGAGAGAGAGAGATTGTTGTCATGAGAGAACACTGATTGGTTGCCCTCCCTTATGTACCCAGACTAGGGACTGAACTCTGACCCAGAACCTGGGTAAATGCTCCAACCAGGGATTGAACCCATGACCCCCTTCGGTTAGGTGATGATGCTTCAACCAACGGAGCAACACCAGCCAGGGCAGGTTGCACCCTTTTTATGTGTCCCTTCTTCTCCCTCCTCTCCTCTGACAAATTTAGTGGTCTGAAATAACATGTGGGTTTGCAAATAGTGATTTAAGATCCAAATAGAGAAAAATGTTTAAATATCAACATTGACAGACACTATTAGCAAGTTAGTTTGGTTAATGTTAATGTGAAGGAAAATTTAAATTCCAAAACATCAAAATGTAGGAAATAGAGCAAAATGTCTTATTTTATTTTTTCATAGAGGAAAGGCAATAATTTCAGATTAATAAAAATAAAATTCATTTCAAATGAAATGCCACTTACAGTCACTATTTTGTTTATGATTGGACTTCAAAGCTGAGTGGGATCAGAGAATAATGTGGTAGACTTACAAATAAACCCTTAGCCAAAGATCACAGGAAAGCTGTAGTCAAACTGGGAAGAAACCAAAACTGACAGAAGAAGCAAATAGCAAAGGCTTAGGTTGGCAGAAACCTAGAGGCCAGAATATCCTAAGGTGAGCAACTTTTCAGAAAGACAGGAGCTGCTCATTTGTCTGCTCCTATGCCAAAGAGAATAGACTTCAAAGTCTCAACACTAGATGTCATCAAATGTCAATCTGAAAACCCCTGAGTGCAAGGGAATATATAAGACCTAGGTTAAGGATTCAAAGCCGTTCTAGTGACAGAATCTAATACTTGTGAGAACTAAGACCAGAAATAATAAGAATTCTTTATCTGAGATTCAAATCTTTTTTCTCTGAGATTCAAATTTGTTAACAGTCAAGGAGCCACCTACAACTGAGGACAAAAACGTATAAGAAAGTTGGTCAACAGTGGTTATAAAGCATACTCAAATCCCTTTAACTTACTTTTCACCAAAGCCCTGAAGTAGCGGCTTGCAATATTTTTGGAAGTTTTGAGAATTTGATGAAAGCATCCTAGAAAACACACATACATGTGCAATTTTGCATAAAGTATAAAAAGACTCTAGAACTTCATTAACCAATATGGTAGCCACAAGATAACACGTAGAAACACTAGCTTCATTTTAAGTGCTCAATAGCCAACACTACGTATGTTCCATTGGACAGTGCTACTCTAGAATTTCATGAATGCTAGGTAACTTCTGCCCCAAATAAACCCCTATAGATCTGCTGGCTTGTAACCCCACCCCAAAATACCAGCTATTTTCTGTTTGAATATAGATGAGCCTCAAAGGCAGTAGAATATTAACAGTAATTTTGAGTAACTGTGACAGTTACTCAAATGGATACTAGCTCTAAGTACCCATTAATAACCTAAAATCAAAACGAACTTACATAGTAAATGATTCATCCTTCATTCTTCCCATGTCAAGGTATATGTAGTTTTGCAAACATTCCCATACACATCCTGCAATAATAATCCAAGAGGCTTTTCTACGAGACAGGGTCAGGCTTCAGGAATTTGCTGTGCATTAATAACAGCTAATATTTATTGAGTTCACACTAAGTGCTAGGTACTGTCCTAAGAATCCTACATGTTAGCTCATTTAATCATCATTCCACATTATAAAGTGGGTATAGAATTAGTCCTTTAAAACAGATGAAGGTACTGAGGTTTGGGGCTTAACAAGATTTAATAAATTGTCTGAGATGACATAGTAAATGCCAGAGAACTGGTTATAAGATTAGTATCTAGTCTCCTGAAATATAAATATGTGAAACATGACAATGGTTTTAGAGAACTTGGAGGTCACAAAGTTTTCTGAAATGGACCTATACCTGCCAGTGCACTATGAAGCCTCTGGATCTGCATTTGCCACAACAGCTTGCAGACTTAACTTTTTCCCTGGAGTGGAACAAGAAAAAAAAATACTCAGAACTTTTTTTCTGTCTTCTCTTAACACCCTTTACTATCATGGTAGTCTGAACTTCAGTGACAGACTAGCTGTGTGACCCCGAGCAAGTGACTTTATTGACACTTTGTACCGTTATCTGTAACATGGGCATGATAATAGCATATACTTCCTACAATTTTGTGTTGTGAGGCTCTGGCTGCATGTAAGCAGGCACTCAATAACCAGTGCTGGTAGTCACAATTCACTCCTATGACTTTTCTGTATTGTGAGCCGATGGGCCCGGTCTTTGATGGAGGGAATGGAGAAACTGGGCGTTCTTTAGCCGTGGACACCCACATCACAGCTGGGCCACCCACCCCTCAACAGCACAAAGCACTCAATTGCGCAGTCAGGAAACCAGCCCTCTGGGTTTGCTTGCATTTACTTCTCACGACACAGGTTCAGGGCCGAGCTAGGAGGAAGATGAATCAGATCGGGGCCGCAGGGCTAGAAGAATGAAGTACACGTCCCAGGCAAGTTTAAAATCCGGAGCCAAAAACAAACAAATATATAGATAGATCAATCAATCAATCAATCGGAAGCCGGAGGTGCCGGGCCAAGTCTCTAGCGCCCTTCGGGGACCTCTAGATGCCCAATAAAAAGGACCCTGGCCAGCCAGATGTCTGCCACCAGCACAGAGCCCGAAGACCTCAGTACCACACGGGATCCACGATTTCTCTTTTTTCCTTCCTTCCTTCCTCTTTCTTTCTCTCTCTCTTTATTTATTTATTTATTTATTTATTTATTTATTTATTTATTTATTTATATTTTTTAAAGACTGTATTTATTTTTAGAGAGAGGGGAACGGAGAAAGAGAGGGAGCGAAACATCAACGTGTGGTTGTCTCTCGCACACCTCTGCTGGGGGCCTGGTCCGCAGCTAGGCTCCCCTACCGCTTTACATCTCTCCCGCACCCCCGGAGCGCAGGCGCAAGCGTAGTCGCCTGAGGCACCACGGACTGCATCTCCCAGCAGGCCCCGCAGAGCCGCTGACCTGGGCGGGGCAGCTCATTTCCCGCCCTCGACCTAGCAGCCGTACGGGCTCTACGACAACTGCTCCTGAGTTTCGCAGGCTGCTGGAGCAGATAGGTCTTTCACCTGTGACCCTAACGTACTGGAGCGGATGGAGACCACCTTTAAATTTGTTATGGCCGGGACAACGACTCTCAAACTAGGCTATGGGTGAAGAATTTCTCGGGTGGGGACGGGATGTTAACAATTTGGATTTCCGAGCGCACCCCGAAACTCTGACGCACTGGAGCTCGCTTGGCTCCAGGACTTGTATCTTAGCAAGCTTTCCGGGGAATTCTGACCCAGGTGGCCTGCCGGTCACAGCAGTTTTGAGGTTTTTTTTTACAAATCGATTTAGCAAACCTATCCCGCCCACGGCCAGCCCCAAGGAACCTAGGGTCTTGGGGCTCGCCGGGCGGCCCCGCCTCTCGTCTCGAATTGGCTGCTCGCTCGTCCCGTCATGCAGATAAATCTTCCTTTCTGGTTGGTCAGCAGGGCATCTGGAGAAATCTTACCCAATGGGCGTTATTGTTCTCAGAACGAGACCTGGAAATTGGTCTCGAGCAGACGCCTTTGGCTGTGGACGCTCAACTTGCGCGGTAAAACTTCCGGCGTGGGCGCCGAACGTTTAGTTATGCGTGAGTCCGCGACGCTGTGAAAAGCGTGGCGCTCAGGTCTTTCCCTAGGGAGGTCCTGGGGAGGCCTTGGCAGGGCGCTGGCGCGGCGGTCCCGAGCATCTACTGAGGCCAAGGCTTCGGAAGCGGCTGCAATCCGGCTGGAGCTGGCTCTGCTACCGGGACTTGAAGCCCAGGGTCCTCTGGCTCCTGCGGACGCTGGCCGTCGCTGTGTGAAGTGGGGGCTCCTTTGCAGGAGGGCCCACCTGGTTTCCGGGGTAAGGCACTTTGAGTGCAGGGCGATGGCGTCGGGCTTGGGCTCCCAGGACCAGGAAGGGCTCCTGATAGTGAAATTGGAGGAGGACTGCGCCTGGAGCCAGGAACTGCTGCCACCGGATCCGAGGCCCAGCCCGGAGGCCTCCCACCTGCGCTTTAGACGTTTTCGCTTCCAAGAGGCCGCTGGGCCCCGGGAAGCCCTCAGTCGTCTCCAGGAGCTTTGCCATGGGTGGCTGCGGCCTGAGATGCGCACCAAGGAGCAGATCCTAGAGCAGCTGGTGCTGGAGCAGTTTCTCATCATCCTGCCTCAGGAGATTCAGAGCAGAGTGCAGGAGCTACATCCGGAGAGCGGTGAGGAAGCAGTGAGCCTTGTGGAAGATATGCAGAGAGAGCTTGGAAAATTGAGGCAACAGGTGAGAAAAAGAGTTGTGTTTGGGGTTTGGCCCCGACTGGGATTAGCGTGCCGGCCCAGCTCCGCATACGAATTTACTTGGTTTCCCTGAGTGGGCCTTACATAGGCAAGAAGCCTTTTTGTAGTTTAGTGCGGAACATACATCATCCAGATTTTACCCGAATGAGTGAGTAGTAAAGAGCGCCCTATTTCCATTTGGAGTCAGTGTCCCTGCATTAGTGTGAGCCCCTCCCGGACTCAAATCCGTTACTCTGTTTCTTAATAGCGTTGTGACTTTGGAAAAGTTACTGAATCTTTTTGAGCTTCAGATACGCCACTGGTAAAATGAGAGTGATGAAATTCCTTTCTAGTGTTGCTTTGACCGTTAGAGGGAGAGCAACATGTAGTTTTTGTTTTTCCTAAATTCTTGCAGCACACCTGTTAAAAATCACTGCTTTAAACAGTCACGTTACTTTCTGAATCACGCTTTTAGCAGTATTTTTTTATTTTCCTTGGTGAAAAGCACTCAAGCAAGTTGTTACAGTCAGACATTGTTTTTAAATTAGTTTGAGAAACATCGATTTGTTGTTTCACTTATTTATGCACTCACTGGTTGATATTTGTATGTGCCCTGACTGACTGGGGACTGAATCTGCCACCTTGGTGTATTGAGATTATGCTCCAACCAACTGAGCCACCTGGCCAGGGCCATATAGTTTTGATTACACTACTGGCTTAAAGTTAGTGCTAAATAGCTGTTAGCTATTGTTATTTTAGAGTTAGCAGTCTGGTCTCCAGTGCAGAGCTGGTTGGGAGTTTACTGCAGACTCCCAGTTTGTTATTAGAAAACCAGTTTGGCACTGAGGCTCTGAGGGCACTTGTGTCCCCAGGGTCACCCAAGTTTGAATTTATCCAGTAGTGAGGGGTGGAAGCATCTAGAAAAGGTGAGGGAAAGCAGGAAGGAGTGAGGTGTGTCCAGAAGAGCTGTGTGGGGCAGGTGTTCTCTGGGAGTGGACTTTTCTACCCCTACCATGCACCCCCATTTTCACATGCACTTGGGATCAGAAAAGCCTGTAGTGGAAACCATCCTTCTCTCTTTCTGGGCCCAAAGGGATCACCAGTGGTTCGCTGTTGAAAGCTTGCCCTCAGAATTCTGTACTAATTTCTTTCCTGTGGGGCCGTGTTGTGATGATGAGTAATGTGGGTTGGTTCCCAGGTCACAAACCATGGGCTGGGAACAGAAGTGCTTTCGGAGGAGCCTTTGTCTTTGGAAACAGAACGAAAGTCACCGAGCTTCAAGCTGGAGCCAGTGGAGACTGAGCGAAGCCCTGGGCCCCGGCTGCAGGAGCTGCTAGGCCCCAGCCCTAAAAGGGACCCACAGGCTATAAAGGAGAGGGGTGAGGAACAGTCATCTGGGTAGGTGGGAGGGAGGAGGGGCTGTGGGTTTGGCTTTGACATCAGCAGGATGGAGCACCTGTGACAGCAAGAGGGAGTTTCTGCTCTCAGGGTTCCCAGAGTGGAGTGAAATACCTAGCAGTGTTAGTTGGGTTTTTTTGGAGGTGGGAGGAGGTAAAGAGATTTCGTAGCTCTTTCATATGCAGAACAGAGACAATTAGAACTAGGTGAATGATTGAGGACTTGAAGCTGCAGAATACTGGTATTCTTACCCTTAACCCTGCATTTAGGATATCATTTTGGAGATGACTTCATTACGCCTTGCTTGCCTTCTTTTGTTCAGTGTTCAATCCTTAGAGCAGAGACTGGGTGTTGGGGAATGGATACTGTGTTGTAATAATCCTTGGGTTGCCAAGAATTAGGAATGCCATTCTCATCATGATTTCTATCACCTTCAGCATTATCTGCTCCCTGGCTTTCTCTCTTTCCTCCCGAAGGAAACTTGGAAGACAAGATGACTGGGCCCCAGGTGATGTGGAAGTTCCCAATGTCTTCCCCCAGCACACACCCCCCATGCCCTGTGTTGCTCTTGTGGTGGTGGGGTCCTTTTGCCACTTGGAGAGGATCCTTTCTCCCTCACCACTGTCTCCCCCACTTTCTTTATATGAGTCCTCTTTACCTCACTCCTAGGCTTTGTGTCCTTCTTCTCCATGAAATGTATCCTCAGCACTCTGGGTTTTGCCCCTTTAACCCATGACTCTGCTTGAATTGTTCTTGGTGTCTCTGGGGCTAAAGAAGATCTTGTGCTGTTTCAGTTGCCTGAGAGCTTAGAGGACGTGGCTATGTACATCTCCCAGGAGGAGTGGGGGCATCAGGATCCTAGTAAGAGGGCTGTCTCCAGGGACACGGTGCAGGAGAGTTATGAGAATGTGGACTCACTGGGTAAGGACTTCTTTTCCAGGAATGAACACTGAGCCATTTCTGACCAGGTTCCTCTGTCTTACCCACTCATCTCCCAGACATAAGTTCCCAATTTTTGCAGAAGACCTCCCTTTGTTTAAAATCCCCAGAACTAGGATCAATTAAACCGCTTCCAGGTGGTACATTTGGCACACTTACGGGCCCCAGCTGCCAGAACCGAAGCCAGGGAGTCTGAGCCTTGATAGATTTCCCAAGGCAGAACGAGTCAAATCAGGTGACTGCCCCCCACCCACCCCGACCACATGCTGTGAAATTGTAAGTTCTTAATGTCTTGCAATTTTGAGGTGATTATTATTCTGATGTCACTTGTGTTTTCTGTGCTTCATTAGTATTCCTAAGCCCTTCCCCAAAAACACAAATTACAGTGTCAGTGGCATCAACATTCCAGTTTAGCAGCTCTCCCAGCACTTAAAAATTCAAGAAGTGGGGAAGACCTTATGGAAATTTGGAAATGATAAATATATCTAAAAGTGGAGCTAGATAAATCAAACATAAATTAAGATGCATCTGTGTGTTGATTTGTTATGCAGTGATCTAAAATGAGGCCTATGAAATACGACAGAAAAACAGTTTTTTCGGTGAAGAGTGTACACAACACTCATAGGATTTACATGGAGGATATGCAGTTATTGTTTAATTCCACCAACTTTTATGTGTGTATGAAAATTCTCATAATAAAAGTTGGGGAAAGTCTTAAAAAACAACCTAAGATAGGAATGTGTCCATTACGGTTATGACTACATCTACACACACACAGTAGAAGAGTCACACTGGACTTTGCTTTCATATATTAGGTTTTTGTAAAGAGTAGCACAGCTATCAGTTTACTTGCACCAATTCTGCAAAGTGGTCACGGCTAGGTTTGTTTGGTTCCCTTCATTAGGACCTCCTCCATGTTTTCCATCACTGTGCTGTGGTTTGGTGCCCTAGGTTTAGCACAGCTCTTTCAGTGAGTGCCAAATAGAAAGAGAAGTTTGCATCACAAGTTCTTAGAACTAAACTGTTTAAAGTCCGTGTTTGCTGGAGTTGGAGTGAGGTTTTTGTTTTTAGCATAGCACAGGAATGGCACTTTTGAATTTTGACCTCAGAGTCCTTTCAGAACCTCCTGGTCCTTTTCTGGTTATCCATACTATATTTTCTCCTTCTGAAGTTGCCCAAAGTAAGTTTTATTCTCTATCTATATATAAGAGTTAAGCCTCTTTTACAATGTTAAACTGAAGCTCAAGAAACTGACTACTCTGACCATGTTTGTTTAATTACCAGTGTACATTCTCATTGCAAGAAAACTCCAAGTACTATAAAAGTGTGAAAAGAAAACTGTAGTCTCACCCAATTTCTTTCTCTAGAGGTAGCCACTGGGAACAGGTTAGTGTATATATTCCAAGTAATTGTTGTCAGGCTTACTGCACCCTCTGTATCTACCCACTGAGGACAGGGAATAAGACTATCTTTGTTTGCTCTGCCTGGTGGAGGAAAGTGGTGGCATAGAAATCTATTTCTTTCATTGTGAACAGAATCTCAGGTTTCCAATCAGGAGGCCCTGAGCACTCAGGTGGAACAAGGAAGAAAACCTTGGGATCCCAGTGTCCAGAGATGCAAGGAGGGACTGAACCCCAGAAGCCCCACTTCAGGTAAGGAAGATGAGCAACCTCCCTAGCTAGTTTCTCCAATGGGAGTGAGGGATTTGAGGGTTTCGGTGTGGGGCTAGCCTGTCACGGCTGCCAGGGAGGTACAATGAGTGCTGTGTCCTCACTGCCTACTTCCATCCCAGTGAGGCAGGTGAGGCACCCAGAGTTCAAAACATAAGGAAGCATTCACTCATGGGCTTACTTGCACATCTTAGTCAGTAGCTTTGCGCCATCCCTCCCATTTCAGAAGGGCAGAGTCAGAGGCTCAGTTAAAGATGAATATGGGGACCCCTACAAAGGAATAAGACTGATCTGAGGTCTGATGCCTGAGCAATGGCCCCACCTTTTATCCAGATGCCTCTCCAGAGTGCTTTTGCTGTATGGGGAAGATGGCAAACTGAGGTGCAACCTTTCTAGACTTCTGATCTACTGTTAGTAGCAGGCATATGGGATTTTTTTCTCTAGGGTAGAAATAATGTAGAGGTTTGGTTTCTCTCTCTCTCTCTCCCTTCCCCCTTCTCCCACCTCTCTCCCCCAGGGGAAGAGAAATTTGAGATTCGGGAAGAAAGTACTCAGTCTATTTCCCCTGAGAGCATCCATCTGCAGGTGCTTCTGCCTGGCCAGGTCAGAGGGGAGGTGCCCTGGAGTCCTGAGCAGGGACGGCCTGGGGACAGGGCAGAAGGGCATTGGGAGCCTCCCCCAGATGATCGGATGGAGCAGTCCTTAGTGGGGGCCACAAGTTGCAGAGAAGTGGGACAACCAAAGGAACTGCAGCGGAAGAAGCTCCACTTATGTCCCTTATGTGGCAAAAATTTCTCTAACAACTCAAACCTGATTAGGCACCAGAGAATACATGCAGCAGAAAGGCTGTGTATGGGTGTGGAGTGCAGTGAAATCTTTGGTGGGAGCCCCCACTTTTTATCACTACACAGAGCACACTTGGGAGAGGAAGCCCATAAGTGCCTTGAATGTGGAAAAAGCTTCAGTCAGAATACCCACCTGACTCGCCATCAACGCACCCACACAGGTGAGAAGCCCTATCAATGTAATGTATGTGGAAAAAGCTTCTCTTGCAACTCCAACCTCCACAGACACCAGAGAACACACACTGGTGAAAAGCCCTATAAGTGCCCTGAGTGTGGGGAGATCTTTGCTCACAGTTCCAATCTCCTTAGGCACCAGAGAATTCACACGGGAGAGAGACCCTATAAGTGTGCTGAGTGTGGAAAAAGTTTTTCTCGCAGTTCCCACCTTGTCATACATGAAAGAACTCATGAGAAAGAGAGGCTTTACCCCTTCTCTGAGTGTGGTGAAGCAGTGAATGACAGCAGCCCCTTTCTTACAAATCATGGAACTCACAAGGCAGAGAAGAAACTCTTTGAATGTTTGACTTGTGGGAAAAGCTTCCGACAGGGCATGCATCTCACCAGACATCAGAGAACGCACACAGGAGAGAAACCATATAAGTGTACCCTTTGTGGAGAAAACTTTTCTCATAGATCCAACTTAATCAGGCACCAGAGAATTCACACGGGAGAGAAACCCTATACCTGTCATGAATGTGGAGACAGTTTCTCTCACAGCTCCAATCGAATTCGTCATCTAAGAACCCATACAGGAGAGAGACCCTATAAATGTTCTGAGTGTGGAGAAAGCTTTTCTCGGAGTTCACGCCTTATGAGTCATCAGAGAACTCACACTGGATAAAAAACCATGGGGTTTCATTTTGCCCCAGGTAAGGTGGCATATTCAGAGGATCCTGTTAAGAGTTGGTATTTCTTTCCCTGCTGACATAAAGAGTAACAGGGATGAGTGTGTGTGGTGGTCTATATGAGGGAGGTGCAGAGACAGCAAAGGATTTGCATAAAACTAAAAAGGAATTCTGTTTGGACTAGTGAGGGTGACAGGTCTTTGAGGTGACCTGCTCAGGGCAGAATTCTCTGTGAAGTCCATTTTGTCTCATAGTGTACCTACCCACTTCATATATTTAGCCAAGTTGTGATTTGGATGCCTTACTGTGTCTGTGTTCAGTGTCTTCCCAGCAACTTTGGGAATCCATGTGACTTTGTTACTGCTTCCTCACTTGGGACATTCAGTAGGAGCATTTGAGCTCCTGAGGCCCTTGAGACCAAAGAAGAGGGGGTGAGTCTCATGAGAAACCAGCTTGAGGGCAAGGAAAGACTGATGGTAAGTTGTACCTTTCCCAAAGGCCCTGATGGGTAAGCAAGCCATAGTGCCCCTCAGTGGCCTGACAGGAGGGCCCATTGGCAGGCCATGCATATCAGTGTCACCTCAGAAAAAATGGACCTGGAAACCTAAGGAAGATAGTAAGAAGTAATTTGCAGGTCAGCCTAGGAATTGGCAAAGGGTGCTGGAGTCCAAATTAGTCTACCCTTTGCAGAGATCAAGAGTTCCTCCACCTTTGTCAGAGAAAGATATACAGAGCTCCAGAGTCTTCAAGGGGCTCCATATAAGATGGGTTCCCTAGAAGACTTTGAAAATGTGGATAATAGGAAAATTAGGAATCATGCCTTTTCTTGTTGGAAATGTTTCAATGGTAATAAATATCTTCAGGAAACATGAAAGTGTGTGACTCTTTATTGAGAGCTTTTGTTCTGGCCTCCAGCGTTGATCTGTCTCCCATCTGCTTTGGTTGGAGGACTTGCTGTTCATAGTCTTGCTGGATTGGTTGTGAAGGGTCCCACAAACATGGCAGCAGACAGGATGAAGGATTGTAGCCTTCACCAACTCCAAGCTGGGACTGCTACACTTCAGTAACAAAGGGTCAATCTCAGTGGCTGCTTGGGGTGATGTCATAATGGTCTTCAAGGTTTTCTTTCCTTTGGTGTCCATCAGTGTCTGAATTTTTTAGAATTTTTTGGGGGGAAGTTAACTGAAGGAAGGTTGGGGTTGGGCTCTTCGGAGACAGGGTATTTTATTTTGGTCTTAAAAATGATTCCCAGGAAAAGATGATTCTGATATAACAGTTACTGCCCACTATTGGAGAGAAGGTATATGGGGAGGGCAGATTATTAGATGAAAGCACTATATCTTATTTTATTTTTAAATGTTTCATTTTTAGAGGTGAAAGGAAAGAGGGAGAGAAACATCAATGTATGTTTGCCTCTTGTATACCCCCTACTGAGGACCTGGCCTGCAACCCACCCATATACCCTGACTGGGAATCGAACTGGGAACCCTTTGGTTTGCAAGCCAGCACTCAATCCACTGAGCCACACCAGCCAGGACAAAAAGCATTATATTTTAGAATAGGTAATTAGGAATATAATTTTAGGAGCATGTGTCTATGGGAAAGAGATAGAATACCAAGAAGTATTCTAGGAGTAGGACATCAGTCTTCTCTCAGCCCTGCCTCAGTTTAGTGAGGGTTTTCCTTGGTTTTCTGAGTCAATTTTTAAAAACTTACTGTTTCTCACTTCCCTGCCTTTCTCTTATCCACAAGAAGGCAGTGGTGGTACAGAGGGTGAAGGGTTGAGGATTTGAGAGATGTAGGATCCACCGTGGTAGGAGTGGGCCAGGGATCAGATATAGCTGCTGATGCCATGAAATGAGTGGGTGGTGTCAAGTTGAAGGTACTAAAGGTTCTCTTTGGCTAAGATGGCAAACTGCATTGTAAATCTTATAAGATTGGAAAATACCCCTCCCCCTTCACTCTCCCTCCTGTCACTTCCTCCCTCCCAATAATATCACCCATGTTGATTTTATGATGTGTCCAACTGGTTGCGTTCCCACTTGAAGCATTGCAACTTCAGGCTTATAGCAACAAGGACCCCTGCATATTTGCTTTTGCACTAAAAAGGCTTTCCAATAGGAGCCTGTACTTTCCAACAGTGTAGCTCCTTTTTTGCAAATTTCAGATGCATAGCTGTTCTCAGCCTTGTTTTAATGAAATAATGTCACAAATTATTGCATGTAAAACACTTAGCACAGTGCCTGGCACATAGAAAGTATCTATTTGTGCCTTCTGTGGGCAGATAATACTTGCAACACTTTCTTCAAACTCCAATGGCTGAAAGAGCAGGCCCTTCACTGCAAGGGATGGCCAAGGGTATGCTTTTTCACATTCATACTTTCATATGACACACATACTGTTGACATACTTTCATTTGCTAGTCCTCTTATAAAAGAAAGCAGAATAGATTCCAACTGGCATTTATTCAAAGGGAGAATGATGCAGTAGAGACCCCTGCCCCCTCAGTTGAAATGGGTACACAGGAGACCTGGGAGATATGGCCTGATCTTAACAGTCACACATAGCAAATGTAGCACAGGAGACCAGCAGAAAGGCTTCTTGGTGGAGAATTGGTAATACATTTAAGCAATGTGCAAACACCTAGCAGAGCCAGGCCAGACAGCAATGAGGACAAAGCCTATAGTGTCAGAGACTAGAAGTGTTAAACAAGCACTAAATTGCTTTTTTCTCCCCAGAAAATCCTGTCAGAAATTTAAAGAATTTTTACTGTATGAATGAGAGAATTTATGGCTGTCAACATTATAATCTGAAATTTGCTATTGATAATTATTGAATTAATAATATTGGAATAGGCAAAATTGCCACCACTGCTTTAAGACTTGTAATTTTTGTAAATGTTTCACAGGCATTTGAAACAACTAAGTCAGGTTAAAAGTCTTAATGTAAGTTACAGAAAACCAGCTAGCAAATTAGCACCAGGGGGCTTCCTTTGTTAGGTGTCAGTAGATCAAGAATAACAAGATGAATTAAAAGCAAAAGTGCATTTATTAGAAGCATTTTTTAAAGGTTTCAATCTAGCTTGCAAGCACTTCTGATTAAAACTTAAATTTCTGTTCTCGAAAGGGAATTGGCCCTGGGTGATGTGGCCCAAGTGGATTGGGTGCTGGCTTGCGAACCAAAGGGTCACTGGTTCCATTCCCAGTCAGGGCACATGCCTGGGGTTGCCAGCCATGTCCCCACCAGGAGGTGCATAAGAGGCAACCACACTTGCATGTATCCCTCTCTTCCTCCCTTCCCCTCTCTCTAAAAATAAATTAAAAAAATAAACTCTTTAAAAAAAGAAAAAAAAGGAGACTGATACAATTTCTCATTACATTTTACTAAATGGATCTAAGTCTTGCCTGAGTTAGGAGGCAGTGGGAATGGTCTGTGTAAATTCAATGACAAAATGGTTGATAAAAAGTGGCTCAGACCACAAGTAAAATTCTGACGGATCTAGTTGATGATGCCAGTTTATCACTGAAACAACTTGAATGTCTCAGAAGCTTTAGGCAAATCAAAACTGATGACTCACCAGGATCCAAACTTGCTCTAGAGAAACAGTAAGATTTCCCCATGAGGAAAGGGTGGGGAAAGAAAATAGTTTATTTCTGAGATGCAGAATTATGTTTTAGACACAATGAGCAACTGTTTGCCCCTTCATCCCCACTTCCCCTCGAGGCAGGAAAACACTAGAACCTGGGTGTGGTTCCCCACTCCAAAGGTGTGGCTGCCATTGAGGGGGCTCACCGCTCTCCTAGGAGGGGTCCAGCTTACATTCAGGAATCCTGCCGCTGCTATTGGAACAGGAAGTGCTTGGGTTTCTTGGAGGAGGTCTAGTCTTCAGGATGGTTTCCAGAACCAGAATGCAGTCCTTTCCCTTTTTTAGATTGGGTCAAAGCAAATGAATTTGTTGTTCCCACAGCTTAGCTTTCCATGGACATGGAGGACGGGGCGCTGCTTCCCTAGAACCTCCCACCTGTCCCACCGGATGTCCCATCGAGGACATTTCCCAAGCGGACCCAGGAGGAGCAAGGGCTGACAGGGCGTTGGTGGCATTCCCACAAACCTTTAACCTCTGCCCTCCAACCACAGCCCTTCAGGATTGGGGACCGAAGCCAGGGAATACAAGCGCGTCCATATCCGCGCCTGGGCGCCCTATGGCTGAGCCTGCTTGGGCTTTCCCCTGCAGCCCCAGCCACTGTGGCTCGACAGGCACTTTATGGCTATTCTCTGGTTGTGTCAACCATGCTCTCCCTGCAGACTTCGACTTCCAGGGCTGAGCGGGTCCACTATGCTCCAAGACTTCCCTCTCTACACCGGAGGGGATATTGGCGGTTCCCCTAAATGTCCAGTCGCTCAGATTTCTGTGCACCACCCCTAAATGTCCTGTCGCTCGTGCCTGTGTGCCAACCCAAGGCCGACAGCAAGGCTGGGCTGGCTCTCTCCTTCCCACAGGAGGCCAGCGCCAAACTGGGTGAGAAGGGGCAGTCCGAAAGGGGCCTCAGGCGGGAGAGCAAAGGGTGGGCGGGGCAGGCCTGCAGGCTGCCCTCTGCAGGTGGTTATTTGAATGTAATGGGAAGTCCATGGAGGGTCTTAAGCAGGAGAGGCTCTCGGCAAGGCTGTAGGGTCGGGAAAGGATTGGGAGAAGACCAGAAAGGGTAGAGAGACTAAGGGGACAAGTGCAGTCTCCAAGGCAGGGTGTGATGGCAGCCTGAATCTGGACTTGAACAGTGAGATGGGAGAAGTGAAGACAAGAGATGAGATATTCAGGAGGTAGAACCAACAGGACTTTACGTGGACCCAGATCAAAGTCTAAAATTTTAGGATGACCTCCAAGAGTACTGAAATTCTGGCCCTGACCTGTCTTTCCTGTCAGCTGCTCCTACAGCAAATATCCAGGGACCTTGCAGCTTCGCAAGGAGATGCACTCTCACACCAACGAGCTCACACTCAAGCTCCCCTTTTGCCCAGACTGCCCTTCCCCTCCCCCCTACTAAATTTTAAAGTCCAACTCAAAAGTCACCCTTGACCCTCTCAGATTTCCCCTGCACTCTCAAAGCCTTCTCCATACCCATCTTAGCTCTTACACATCCAACAGTGTTTTGTATTCGTTCTCTTTGTAATTCATGTCTAAATGCCCAATGCCATGCACAGTGCCTAGGTCAATGTGAGGTTTCCAGGATAAATAGATACCTTTGAAAAGGGTGTGACTACCTGCCATTTACTCTGGAATTACTACCATTGAGGGGAAAAGGGTATTTGATGCAATGACTCAAAAGGAACTAGACAGCTGTCCAGTATGCTCATCTGATATTCCCACGGCATCTTCCATGACCTATTCTACAACCCATTCTACCCCAGGCTTGAAAGGTGTTCTCAAAAAATGCTAACTTCTCATTAATAACAAAACCTAAAATGTTAAGACAATAAGATAAAATTGTATTTACAATGTAATCTGCCATTTTAAAAATACATGAAACACACCAAAGTGTTGAGTGCTTTTTAATATATCTTCTACCATCATATTACTTCTGCATCAAGAGGAAAACAAACACTAAATAGGCGGCAACAGATTTTAAAAACAGCATATTATACCATTAAATTGAAACATGAATCTATCCCTTTTTAATTATTTTTAGAGAGAGGGGGAGGGAGAGAAACATTGATGTGAAAAACATCGATTTGTTGCCTCTCATACACCGCCCAACCGGGAACCTGGCCCACAACTTAGGTATGTGCCTTGACCCAGAATCCAACTGGAGACCCTTTGGCTTGGGGACCCTTCAGTTTGCAGGGCTGCGCTCAATCCACTGAGCCACACC